CGGAGATGATAGATGTTTGCATCGACAACTGCATGATCTACTGGAGAGATGATGAGAAGCTAGAAGAGTGTCGATTCTGCAAGAAGCCACGATTCAAACCGCAAGGACGTGGAAGGAATAGGGTTCCGTACCAAAGAATGTGGTACTTACCAATCAAAGATAGGCTGAAAAGATTATATCAATCTGAGAGGACTGCAGCAGCGATGAGGTGGCATGCTGAACATGTCCAGCGGGATGGCGAGATTGCTCATCCATCAGATGTAAGAGCTTGGAAACATTTTAGCAACGTACATCCATATTTCGCAAGAAATATTAGAAATGTCTATCTTGGATTATGCACAGACGGATTTAGTTCATTTGGAATGTCTGGGAAACAATACTCTTTGTGGCCAGTCATTCTTACGCCGTACAACCTGCCTCCGAAGATGTGTATGGAACAAAAATTTCTATTCTTGACCATATTAATCCCTGGTCCGAAGCATCCAAAGCCTTCCCTAGATGTTTTTCTTCAACCATTGATACAAGAGCTGAAGGACTTGTGGTCAGAAGGGGTCAGGACGTATGATTGTTCCTTGAAAAATAATTTTACGTTGCGAGACAATAAGTGATTTTCCTTCTTATGGTATGCTTTCTGGTTGGACTACACATGGAAGGTTATCTTGTCCACATTGTCTTGGATCAACAGATGCTTTTCAATTGAAGAATGGTAGGAAGAGTTGTTGGTTTGATTGTCATCGTAGATTTCTTCCCCTTACCCATCCCTACCGAAGAAATAAGACATTGTTTAGGTACAAAAAAGTTGTGAACAGGGGTGTTCGGTTTAACAAATTCGGTGTTGTGGCTGTCAACTCTTCAAGAAGATACAACAAATTCGAACCTTTCATCTTAGCTTCTCAAGCCGAGCAAGTTAGCTTCATTCCATACCCTCGCCTTAGAAGTTCAGGAACAACTTGGTTAGCTGTTATCAAGATTACACCTCGTGGACGCATAATTTCTAGAGAAGAACCACCCTTGCAAGAAGAAGCGGGTGTCACACAAGTAGAAGTACCTGATCAAGAAACTGATGAAATCTTTCTTATTGATCAGCATAATCATCAATACGAAGATCTTCCCAACGATGTGATGGATGAAACATGTGAAGATGAATTCGAAGGTATAAGCGATGATGATTCTCCTGATGTTGATGAGAACGCGAATGATTCCAAATGATGTAAAATATGTACCATATGTTGTAAAATATGTATCAAATGTTGTTCTTTTATATCAGTACACGATGTGTATTAATATAATAAGTTTAAAAAATATTGTTTGATATAATAAGTTTAAAAAATATTGTTTGATATAATAAGTTTAGGGTTTAGAAACATTTAGAAGAAAAAGAAGAATAAGTTTAAAAAATATTGTTTGATATAATAAGTTTAAAAAATATTGTTTGATATAATAAGTTTAGGGTTTAGAAACATTTAGAAGAAGAAGAAGAATAAGAAGAAGAAGTAACTTTGGGGTTTAGGGATTTGATTTTTGGGGTTTCATATATTTCCTAGTTAATTCGTCGTAATGTAAAAAACACGGGCCTGATAGTTTCGTCGTAATGTGAAAAACACGGGCCTGGTACTTTCGTCGTAATGTGAAAAACACGGGCCTGGTAGTTTCGTCGTAATAGAAGCACGGGCCTGGTACTTTCGTTGTAAACTTACGACGAACTTACGACGACAGCAATTATCTATATAAGCACACTCGCATACGAGGCTATTCGCCTCGTTCATTCCTCCTTACCTCCTCTCCCTCTCAAGGTAACCTCCTCTCTCTTCTTTTTTTTTTTTTTTTTTAGTTTAGTTTAGTTTTAGGTTAGATAGTTAATTAGGTGGTTAGTTTAGATGATTAGGTTACGTAATAAATTAGGTGGTTAGTTTAGATGATTAGGTTATGTAATAAATTAGGTGGTTAGGTTAGATGGTTAGATTATGTAATTAATTTTTTTTGATAAACTGATGACTGATGACATTTTTTTTTTTAATTTAGATGGCTCCTAGACCGAAACCGAAAAACCCACCTCCTTCGTATAGTGAGATGTTTGGTACTGATGGTATCGGGACATCTTCTTCCGGACCGTCGTCTTCTGAGCGTGTGTCGGATTCTCAGGCATATTATCCCGGCCATGATATACCATATCATGAGATGCCTCCACCTTCCGGTCCTACTCGNTATAGTGAGATGTTTGGTACTGATGGTATCGGGACATCTTCTTCCGGACCGTCGTCTTCTGAGCGTGTGTCGGATTCTCAGGCATATTATCCCGGCCATGATATACCATATCATGAGATGCCTCCACCTTCCGGTCCTACTCGACATCCCGGTCCTAATCCCGCATCCTTTCCCGATCCCATTCCCGATCCCATTCCCGCAGGCGGTAATCAGGTTCATCCAGATTTGCGGGTACCTCCCAGTGCACCATATGCTTCCTATACTGTGGAGGATCTTCTTGCCCAACCGGGGCGAGAAGGTTTAGATATTCTGGACCCCGATCGTCCGCGGGGTACTTATTGGTAAGTTTTTTTTTTTAATTCGTAATTTTTTATTCATAAACTGATGACTGATGACATTTATTTTTTTAATTTATATTTTTCCCGGTTTGGAGCAAACAATCGCATTAGCCGGAGTGTTTCAGACACGATGAAGGGGTATTTACTCGAGCCCCATCCGAATTGGACTATGACTCCAGACCACGTGAAGATAACGTGGTTTAAAATGTTTGCGGTAAATATGATTTTGTAATATTTAATATTTATTTTAATATTATTTTACTAATATTTTAAAATCATCTTTTTTTGGTTTCAGCAGAAGTGGCATTGGCCATTATCGATCAACGAGAAGGTGAAGGAGGCTTTAAAGCAAAAGCCAAGACTCGTCTTTGTAACACCGTCTCAGATTGGAAGGATAAATGGGAACTCTACGGTTATGAAGGGAAGCCTAAGGAGATCTCCAACTTTGTATGGAATGGTCTCATCCGCTATTGGAGCCTCCCTGCCTCCATCAAAAAGTCCAACTCCTGCTCTTCTTCCCGAAGAACGAAGGATAAGTACGGCAATGAGCCATGCTTCATAGAACCGGCCAAAAGCCGCACGCTGGGATTCGTCTAGATGTTGTAAGTTTTATTTTTAATATTTTTTTTATTATTTGCTAATTAAGTAATTAAAAATATTAACTCTTTAATTTTGTTTCTAGGCCGAGAAGACCGGAGTCATGCCATCTCTGACTGAGCTATTCAGGATGACTCACGCCACACCAGAGGGAGTTTTTGTGGATCCACATTCCGAGAGACTCTATAACGATGTGGTTTCTCGGGTTGGGGAGCGGCAGACACAACTAACCCAGCAGACTCCCGATGGGTCACCCGTCACATTGACTACAGAAGAAGTCGATCGGATTTTCGAAGAGGTAAAATATTTGAATAAATTTTAATTTGTTTATATTAATTCGATTTTATTAATTATTATTTCAATATTAATGAACCTTTTTTTGAAACAAGGTGGCTCCAAGAAAGAAGGGACGGACGGTGGGAATAGGCTCCGTTAACGAAGTTCCAAGGGCAACTTCTTCGTACACTTCGCGCCGAGATGAGGAAAATTCTCAGCTACGGTCTCAGATGCAGTCCCAGCAAGTGCGTTTGGACTCACTTGAGGATTTGTTGGACATCGTGGCCATCGATAACCCGGTTATGCAGAGAGCACTAAATGCAAGACGAGCGGCTCTCGGAATGGAGCAGCATCCTCCTGAGTCAACCGGTCGACCCGACCCGGAACTCAGCCGCCCCGACGAGTACCTCCGCACCAACATGCCGTAGTTTTATTTTATTTTATTTTCTTTTGTATTATAAATTTATATATTATTTATGACTTTTTAATATAATTTTTTTTAAACAATTTTAATTTTAAAAATTTTTGGTTGATCTTACGACGAAATATTCTACTTCTCCTTTACAACGACACTTGTTCCTCGTAACGTTACGTGGTCTTTACGACGAAATGTGCATTATGACGGGCGATTAACAACGAAACGCGTTTCCTAGTTAATTCATTGTAAATGTCCTATTACGACGAATTAACCACGGATATAACCCTAGTAAAAAAATTGTTTTCTTGTAGTGATTATGCTAATCTTTAGCAATTTATTTAAAAGAAAATTACATAATAAGAAAACAAATAAATTTGCAAGTAATTTTTATATATACTTTAATTGAGGTGAAAGTTTAATGTATTTATATCTATAAAAAAAAACTAAAACCAACAATGCACATGTACATATTAGATTTGAACAATAATAATTTAATTTTATATAAATCTAATATGAAAAATTAACTATTGTCTATAACAAAACCAAAACCATCAATGCACATGTACATTTTAGATTTGAACAATAATAATTTAATTTTATATAAATCTAATATGAAAAATTAACTATAGTCTATAACAAAACTAAAACCATCAATGCACATGTACATATTAGATTTGAACAATAATAATTTAATTTTATATAAATCTAATATGAAAAATTAACTATAGTCTATAACAAAACTAAAACCATCAATGAACATGTTAGATCTGAACAATACTAATTTTTTTATAAATCTAATATAAGCATTTATTTTTTGAAATTCACATAAAGGTTGGTTCTCTCTTCATTGTTCCACGGATCTTTGTAGTTTCAAAGATAGCTGATCCCGAGGGCATGTCCTGGTTCTCCATTGTGACTACTCCCGAGTAAGAATCCTGTTCGTTTGATCGTTGCTATGCTATCTTCTCGTTTATTTCAAAGGAAATAAACTTAGCGTTAGTTTACAAAAAAAACACTAAACGTTTGAAATGTGTTGCTTTGTGTGTTGTAGTCCGATATTCACACATTTGGCTGGTAGGACATAGATTTGAAAGGCTTTGTCTCCAGAGGTTTTGCAGGCGGCGTTTAAGGTTTATCCAGAGGTGGAGGGGTCTTTCCGTTCAAAGAGAACTTCGGACGCCATTTTCTTCCCTCTTTCCAACTGAAGAAGGCGATGAGAGGAAAACAAGAACCAGTTTAATCGTTGCCTTTTTCCTTTGTTTATCTCTTTGATTGTGACTCACGGAAGTATCACTGATCTAGTATTTTCAGGGGGTTGCTTATTTTTTAATGTGTTTTATCCTGGACCGGTTCTTGTTCTCTTTGTTGGTCTTTACGCTTTGTTATTTTAATAAAAACATATTTGCATTACTAATTTATAAGTCTTAGCGAATAATACCATTCTTTTAGATGGATATGGGTCAACACGCCAAAAACAAAAACAATTCAGGGCATCTCATAGTAGTTAATTAGTTGTTTTACATTAATATCTTAACATGTGTTTCTTATAACTTAGATATTGTAATTGGATCTTAACATGTGTTTGGAAAGTAAACAAAAGAAAAGGAAGAAACTATATGTATTTGTTATGAGTTAGTATAATTCATTATGAATTTATTGAATCGAATACTATATCAGATTATTGAATCAAGTTAAACCATGATGCAATGAACAATATTATTACATACGATTTGATAATGTTAAAACATTATATAATTATTTTATAAATATATGTAACTTCAACATTTAGGATACAAGTTGCTAAGACTTTGTGTGTATATTTGCATAACCCTTTTACCCCCTCTTCCACGACTGCATTGGTCTGACTACAAATGCAATACATATTGCTCCTGTGAATTTCATGTTTTATGAACTTAGTAACTCCTTTCAAACTAGGTCTAGTACAATGTTTGCGATGATGATTTTGAGGTGTTGATGGTCAAGCTATTATATAGGTGGGGGCTGGAGTAAAGTTTGCAACAATAGGTTGGCTTTTTATTTAGTGTTCACGGCTAAATTGTATATAATATATACGATAACGGGACAACGTTATATAATTATTTTATAAATACTTGAAACTTCAACAAGTAGGATAAGGTATACTACAAGCCGCTATGACCTTGAGAGCATTTGGGGTTTGAAAACAATGACCAAATGCTGGATTTTTCATGTAACTACATAGACACGACACTTGTTCTTTCAGTTTTCTGCAGCATTCTGTCGACGGATTACTTCCGGTTCGTCCTGCTGGTGTGCATGGTTTAAGTTCGGCCGGGACGCATGCCACCTTTACCCCCTCTTCCACGGCTGCATTGGTCCAAGCCAAAGACGACACAAGGACTATCACAAATGATATGCATATCGCTCCTGTGAGCTCCATGTTTTGTAACCTTAGTGGCTCCTTTCAAATTAGTTCCAAGTAATTTTTGATTTCTTGAAAAATGTTGATTTTGAGGTGTTGATGGTCAAGCTCTTATATAGGTGGAGACTGGAGTGAAGTTTGCAATAGCAGGCTGGCGTTCTAGGTAGTTTATTATTTATGTCCTTTTAACTAAAATTTTGAAGGATTCCACACACATTTTATTTTGGTAATATATAAAAGATGGACATATATATAGACCTGTTAGAGAACTATATTATTAAAAATATCAAATTTGCATCAAATTCATATAATTGAAAATATCAAATATTTAACCAAGGAAACTAAGTGGAAGGTTATATATAATAAACTAAAAACTATTAATGCAGATGTATATATTAGGACATCTGCAGCTTTGATATCTAAATAGATATCTAAACATTAAAAATATTAGAATAAATAAAAATGGAAATGATATAGAAAAATCCATGAGATAATTTTAAAATACAAAGATTCATATTACATATGTTGATTTGTTTGTATTAATTTAGCTTTTTCCAATAATAAAAACTTTAATATATTATTAATTAATAATAAAATGTTATTACTATATTTGCAAGATACTCAAAGAAGCATCTCAATTTTAATAGTTCACTTAGATTTGAACAATACTAATTTATAAAACTTTGATATGAAAAATAATTATAACTTTTGATAATATTCAAAATTTACTTTTAAGTAAAATTGTTTGTGGAAAAAAAGAATGTTAAATTAAATAAGTTTTCAATTTAAAATTGATTGGTTATAAGGGGATAAGTTTATTTATCGTATATACTAATTAAGATTTTTTCAACTACTGATGTCTGAGACTTTGTGATTTTGGAAAAAAAAGGGAAAATGATGACGCAAAGGTATTATTAGAAGAGATGAAGAAAAGGCGAATAAAACCAGATGTTGTGTGATCTATAAAATTATTGTTAATTATCTTTACGTAGTGAAGGTAGAGCCTCTGAGGCTAATGGACACTGAAGGAAATGCAGATAATTTTAACATTATATAATTATTTTATAAATGCTTAAAACTTCAACAAGTAGGATAAGGTATACCACAACCCTCTAAGACTTTGTGGGCATTTGGGGATTTAATATACGGACCAAATGCTGAATTTTGTATGTAACTACATAGACACGACTCTTGTTCTTTCAGTTTTCCGCAACATTCTGTCGTCGGTGCACTTCCGGTTAGTATTGCTGGCATGCATGAGATAAGTTCTGCCGGGACGCATTCCACTTTTATCTCCTCTTCCACGGCTGCATTAGTCCAATCCAAAGACGACGCAAGAACTAACACAAATGAGATGCATACTGCTCCTGCGAACTTCATTTCCTATAACCTTAGTGACTCGGCCCTTCAAATTTGTTCTAATTAATTTTTGATTCTTGATAAATATTTGAGATGTTGATTTTGAGGTGTTGAAGGTCAAGCTCTTATAGGTAGACACTGGAGTAATGTTTGCAATTAAAGGCTGCCGTTTTATGTTGCGTATTTATGTCTTTTTAATTAAATTTTGAAGGATTTCATACAGATTTTGTAATGATAATTATTAAGATATTGGCACATGTATACATGTTAGCAATTTATTAAAAACAAAACTACATAATTAGAAAATATCAGTTTTGCAATCGATTTCATATTATTGAAAAAATATTTAACCAAGAAAAAGTGAAATGCATTTAGCTATAATAAAACTAAAATCTTCAATGCAAATGTATATATGAGATTTGATATTAGTAAAAAAATATATATTAGATTTGAACAATACTATTTCTTTATATAAATTTGATATGAAAATGAGTTATAATCTTTGATAATGTTCAAAGGTTACTTTTAAATAAAACTGTTAAAAAAGAAAGAATAAATAGGAGAATCTGTGCTTATTATGAGATTTTATTTTCAGAATCAAACAGAAAGAGCATCAGTCAAATTTTGAGCAAAAAATTGAATATACGAGATCTGCTTATCTTTTCAACACGTGTGTTCAGTTTTAAAACCAGGGGTTGTCAATTTGGGCTTTATAAAGTTGTATCACGTACTTATATATACTGGGCCCGTTTATAGGCTTTTCGTTTAATAAACGAAGTTGACGCCAAAACAAATAAGAAAAAATTATATGAAATCCAAAATCCACAAAGAAAGTCAACCGCCATGAACGAACAACTCACAAGGTCACCGAAAAGCCATGAGAGGAGAGGTACCGTTTATTTGGCGTCGATATTGCGTCCCGATTCGGTCTCCTTCAATGTATTGATCAAAAGGGTTTCTTGAGAAATTGGAGTGGGAAGGTGCACGCAAAATGTTCGATGAAATGCTTGAGAGGGAAGTGCAACCTACTGTGGTGACGAGTAGAGACCTGACTGAGCTTATTTGAAGATATGATTCAGAAAAGAATACGTCCAAATGCGTTAAGGACGGTTTATGTTGGACCATGCTTGGTTTGGATCTTGTGCTTGGGAAAGTCTACTTTGTGATCTCTGCATCAAGGATGGAGGGTTTTTTTGTGAAGCTTTGTCACAAGTAATTTCTACCTAAGCAGTGGTGACCTCTTAAAGGGTGAAATTCTCATACTTGTTGTTTTTTTCCTGAGTGAAAATGGAATAGTGTGAGTGAGTTTAATCCTTCCTAATTCAAGAAAGAAATTTTGAGGGGAAATTTGCAGGCTTGCCTTATTACTTTAGGCTTGAAATTTTTAGTTTTGTTTTTTTTTTATAATTCATACAGTGGGACTTCTAGTAAATTCAAGATCTTGTAGTGAAGTTATAGCTGATTATATTTTGTTATTTGTTTTTATGTTTCTTCATGCTCTAAACCAAACCACCATATGATGGAAAAGTTGTCAGTTGTCACCTGTTCTGTTTTCATCAACTCCATCGTTTTCCATTAATAATTTGGCTTTATTTCACTATAAATGTTAATCTTGAATCAACCTTGTATAATCACACCACAACTAGAAACAATTCCACTCAAATTCAGTTTCAAATAAACTATCTTAGTCTGATCTTTTTCCTTGTCAATGACAGGCTTCAAGATACTTTTCGTCCTGGTTTTACTTCTTGTCATTACTTTTTTCTCAGCTGCTCGGCTTCTTGATTAAGAAGAAAATCTTGGGTTAGTCCCTATGCCTACCAAAAGTCCTGGTCCCTTACCAACTACTGGTTCAGGCTCCTTCGCCAGTGTTAGTTCAGGGCCTGCAACTGGTATCACTTCAGGTACAGGTCCCTTGACTACTTTAACTGGCTCCGGACCTCTACCAACTACTGGTTCTAGTTCTTTACCGGTTGCTACTTCAGGTCCCTTGCCTACTACTGGCCCTGGCTCTCTACCAACCACTGGTTCTGGTCCTTTTCCGGTTGCTAGTTCTGGTCCGTTACCTGCTGCTGGTTCAGGGACTTTGCCGACTGTTGGTTCAGGTGCCACAACCACGTGTGCAGGATCAGCGACCGGTGGTTCAGTTCCGGACCACACCCTGGTTTTCTTTATGCACGATATACTCGGTGGCTCAAATCCAACAGCAAGAGCTGTGACTGGAGTCGTTGCAAACGCGGCTCTCAGTGGCCAGCTTCCATTTTCCAAGCCCAATGGCGCAAACCTCCCTGTCAACAACGGCGTTCCATCAAACAATAACAATAACGGAATCCTAAACAACAACAACGTCCCGCTTCTCGTCGGGCTGGGCGGAACCACTTCCAGCATTCTACAGAACAACGGTAACAACCTCTTGAACGGTCTCCCCGTAGCTAATGGTGGTCAGCTCCCATCGGGCTCATCTCTTCAGATGCTCATGTTTGGAACAATGACGGTGATGGACAACGAACTAACAGAAGGGCATGAACTCGGGTCAGGTCTGCTTGGCAAAGCCAGGGCTTCTACGTGGCGAGTTCTGTTGATGGAACCAGCCAGACCATGGCTTTCACGGCCATGTTTGAGAGTGGTGGTTATGAAGATAGCATAAGTTTCTTCGGTGTGCATAGAACGGCTGCATCAGAATCTCATCTTGGCGTCATGGGTGGTACAGGGAAGTATGTGAATGCGAGAGGCTACGCCATCGTCAAGACATTTACAGGTGGCACCGGGAACACACAGCAGCCGCACCAGTTCACAAATGGGCTAGAGACTGTTCTTGAGTGTACCGTTTACCTTTCTTACTAGTTTTATTTTTTTTATTTGTTGCTCTCTATTATTGAAGGTTGTTGTGTTCTTTCATCTTTGTCATCTTAATACGTAACGAAACCTATAATTTCACAACAAATCTCTAATTATAGGTTTATGAATTAGAAAAACAATAAAATAACAAAAGGAGAGAAAAAGAAGGAAGACCAGCATGGACATTTAAACCTCGTGGTACCGAACCAACGGCTCCAAAACAAACAAAACAAAGGTTTCAAATAAATAACCCCACACCGTACGACCACCAATATTATCTTCAAAGACAAGAAACAACAAAATGGTGCTCTTGAAACCTTCTGCCTTTTCAAAATCACCTAAGCCTCGTCCACAACAAGGCGGAGTCTCCGACTCTCTAATCGGCGATACCGTGGAGGAAGCTGATGCTTTCATAAGCCAATGGGTTTCACCACACCTCCACGATTCCTCTTCAACTTCCTGCAGCCTCTCATCCCTTTTCTCCGCGGAAAATCGCGGAGAAGGAAGACGCTTCCTCGACGTCCTCGCCAAGTTACATTACGCTATCCAGAGCGCTGGTTTGGTGAATCCGGACTCCGCTAAGCTTTCTCAAGCGCGTGATCTAATGCAGACAGCTATGAAGTATTTGGAGAAAGAGTTTTACCGCGTTTTGAAATCTAACCGCCGGTTTTTGAATCCGGAATTCATCTCTAACGAGAAAGCAGAAGGAGACGCTGATGCTGATTCAGATGCTATCGAGGATTTGAAAATGATAGCGAATTGCATGATCTCCTCCGGTTACGAGAAGGATTGTGTTAAGATTTATAAGAAACTCAGAAAAAAGATAATCCTTGAGGCATTGTCTAACCTAGGGTTTGAGAAACTAACTTCTGCACAAATGCAAAAACTTGAATGTGAGATTCTTGAGAAGAAGATCAAAGGTTGGGTTAGGCTTGCGAGAGTCGCATTCGTCACACTGTTTAAAGGAGAACGCATCCTCTGCGATCGCATCTTCTTCTCCTCCTCCTCCTCCTCCTCCTCAGTCTCCCTAGCTGAGTCTACCTTCGTGGAGATTACACTACAAAGCGCGTTGAAACTTTTCGTCTTCCCAATAACCATCGTGAAATGCAGGAAAACCGTGGAAAAAATCTTCCCTACTCTTGACGTTTACCAGACTATATTGCACGTGATTCCCAATATCGACCAGATTTTCAGCTACGATTCAACCGCCTCCGTGCGTTCGCAGGCGGCTGAATCTCTAGAGAAGCTTGGAGAATCGGTGAACGCGATGATGATCGAGTTTCAATCGTCGATCACGAAAGAGTCCTCGAAATCGCCGATACCTGGCGGAGGAGTTCATCAGCTCACTAGATACGTCATGAATTTCATCGTCTTTCTAGCGGATTACAGCGACTCGCTTGCCGCCATTATCAAGGACAAGGAGTCCTCGTTGCCGTTACCGGAGGATTACTATAACAACAAAAACAACAACGAAGAGAATCCAGAAAACGCAGGCTCTCCGATGGCAGCGAGGCTAGCGTGGTTGATCCTCGTCTTACTCTGCAAAATCGACGCTAAATCTCGTCTCTACAGCGACGCGGCGCTCTCATATCTTTTCCTTGCAAATAATCTTCATTACGTGATCACCAAGGTACGCACATCGAATCTCAAGGAAGTTCTGGGAGACGATTGGGTGGCGAAACAAGAGGTTAAGGTGACTCAGTACCTCGAGAAGTACGAGAAGATGGCGTGGGGCGATGTGGTTGTGTCGGTCCCGGGGGATTCAACGGAGGCGGAGAAAGCTGACGAGGCTCTGAAACGGTTCAACGAGGCGTTTGAAGAGGCTTATAAAAAGCACAAGACTTGGGTCGTACCCGACCCGAAACTGAGAGACGAAATCAAAGCGTCTATAGCGGGAAAGATCATGGCCGGGTATACGGGTTTCTATAAGAAGTATCCGGTCGGGTCATCGAAGATTGTCAGGTTTACCCCTGAAGATCTCAATAGTTACATATCCGACTTGTATATCGGGTTGAGAGGATCCGTGCCCGTGTCGACTAACTAAACGTCTTCGGATCCGAATGTGAAAGCCCAAGTCACTGTAATGTGAATAAGGTAGAAAAGATATTCAAATTTGTCGACGAATCATGACCTGATTCTGGGATTAAGCCCATGAAAATATCAGTGTCAGGCTTCAAATTGGAATGAATAAATATTGTAACAATTATCAGCTGTAATTATATTTATTTATTAAATTTCTAAAAGACCTTTTAATAATATTATAAAATAGTATTCCCCTATACATTAAAAGAGAAGTCACTTTAACTAATTTTGCTTACGTGTCATTCATAGGTATAATGTAGAATTAATTCTCTTAATTTGATTGGTTGTTGGCATTTGAATTTTTATTTATTTAATTAAAGTTTTTTAAAAGGAAACTAATCCTAGAATTACCTAATCTAATATATATTACCAAAATAACAATTAACCATCTTAAATACATAGGATTAATATAATTTGTTTATAGAAACAATTAAATATCACATATTCCATTATAAAAATTTAGAATACACATATAAATACATATTATATTATAGAAATAAGTATATAAACGATTTTAATTTTTTTTTCTATTAATAGTGGATAAAAAATCATACATTACAGAAAACTAATAGTATTTTTAATACTCACTCACTATATATATGTATTCTTAAAATATGTTCAATGATTGCAAAACAGTCAAATGTATTTTTTTTTAAAATATCTATCATTTCCAGAGATAAATGTCGATAGTATAGTTGAGTTATCACTTTCAAAAGTTAGTTAAGTATTTTTATATCTAAAACAGAAAATTATATGGTATGTCATTTTAAAAAATATGAATAAATAAAAAGTTTATTATAATATAAAATTACAAAAAAATCAAAACATTATATTAATACAAGATTTGAGTTAATATTCTATTCATATAATTTATATAGCTTTAAGTATAATGAAATTGGCATGTTTATTTTTAATAAGAAAAAAAAGAAAAGAGACATAAATAAAAACATGAGTGAATAATAATAAAACATTTTGCTATATTCTTCGTTATTTTGTATTTGTACATACATATTTTTTTATTTGTATACCAAAATATTTTTTACCTATTAATATAATTGTAAACTAATTATTTTTAGGTGTTTATACAACATAAGGAATAATTGAGTAAGGAAGATATATATAAATGATAAGCTATAAAATTGTTAATGTTGAAGATGCAAAATATAACGCAAATTAATTTTAAAATAAATTATTTTAAAATAATGATAATTATTTTTTGCGGTGTAATAAACTTTAAAAATATATGATAAAAAGTTATAACAAAATTTATACAACTAGAAACATGTTATTTTGATATATTAAAACTGTTGAATCTCATGTTTATATTAATCTATGTCTAAAATAATGACATCACATCATTTAGGAATTAAGATATTTTATGTTATATAATTATTTAATCAAATTTACTTTTTTGAAATACAAATATTTAGATTTACTTAAAATATGTATGTAATGAAGTAATTAAAGAAAAACAAAATTAATATAAAATATTTATTTTTTTCAATGAAAATCTTGGTCAAAAGAATCAATGTTTGATAAGATAGTGTGAAGATATGAGAGAATTTGACAACGAATTTATTTGGTTAGTCAATTTTGATTTTATATTAAATTATAAATAAAAAATATGTAAGAAAGGGAGAAAGAGAGGGAGATATGGTGATGATAAGGATTAGAGAGTCGGTTATGATCATAATGAAGATAAAAAACAATATAGATGAGAGACTGAATATAAGTGAGATAGATTCTGAAATCATCTATTAATACTATGTCAAAGTGTTTAGAAAATTTAACAAAATCTGGTGAAAATTTTGCAATCAAAAAGAGATAGAAAGAGTTTTAAAATAAAATATTGAGGATTATATTAAGGACGAGGGTAAGAAAATGAATATAGATGATTGTGAGAGAGTGAATGTAAGTTTGAGAGATTTTGAGATTATTTGATCATCTGAGAGAGATACATAAGAAACAAAACGAATGTGTGAAAAAATACAAGGAGAAACGAAATGACTAAAATAGAAAAATATATTAAAAAACAGAGTATCTATATAAAAGAGAAAGAAAATTACAATATATTTATACATTTACATTATTTTTTATTCATGCAATGTATAGATTATATTAATGTCTGCACAGGTGTAAGGGCCATCAACCTAGTCCTTTATTAAACAGCATTAATATTGAGAGAAAAAACATAACATTTGGCTCACAAATTTAAATTGGATTTAGGTGTTTAAAGTAACTGGGCCCGCCCTGCAGCAAATGAGAACGTATGTGTTGTATGAATCCAGTTAAGGCTAATACTTTGGTTTTGTGATGGTTTACCATTTTTTAAGCTACACTAACGGTTTTCATTGCAGTTGGATAGAAGCTGTAACAACCGTAGAGCAAATGCTGGTTTTGACATATTTTTAGTTTCTGAAAAGTTTCTTTCTAAGTTAGTAAAGATTTAAAGTTTTGGAAGTAATTATAATTTAATCAACGACAGGTGATAATCAGGCCCGGCCCTGAAAAGCTAAAAAAAAATAAAGACCGGAAGCTTCCCACAAAAAAAGGCCACTAGGTGGGATTTGAACTTGTTACCTATAGAAGAAACTCCTACTATTTAACCATCTGAGCTATAATAACTTTTGTGAAAAAAGGCCGAAAAATTTATTTTATTTTAAGGGCCGGAAGCAGATGCTTCTAATGCTTCTACCTAGGGCCGCTACTGGTGATAATCAATGGGAAAGAAAATCAATTTAGTAAAAATAGGTAAAAATATTTAGTATTTTAATTTTAGAATATACTATAAATGATGATAGTTGACCGACAAATATATTTCAATCATTCGTCCACAACAATAGAGTTACTCTAGAAAACAAATAAAAAGGAATTGTGGTTGGGAAGTAAAGTATTTAGTTGAATAAATCTCCAGAGACTAATTTATTTTAATATTCCGTATGCAAACATAGGAGGTATATAACAGTTTGTTCGATGTATCTGCCGTAGCCACACATTTTTGAGATATGTCATTTATAAAAAGTGATTCAAGTCAAGAGTTATAGAGATAACGTGCTAGTTTCTACGTCTTCTTTGTCCATGGTTTGCATGCATAAAAACATTATCTCACTGTCGATCTGATTCCTGACCCATCAGAATAGTTATGTTTTTGTGAGTATCATTCCATTGGCGTCCCTTTAATTTTAGTACACAAGTTTAACTTGAATAGTGGCTAATGCGAATTTGGCTATGTTTTGTATATTTTATACCATTATCAGTCTTGCAAGGATTTTTCTTTTATTACAACATGTGCTTTATAAATGAATAGTTACCAAAAATAACAAAATTATTTCCGGTATTATATTTTAACGTGAATTTCCAACGTTGATCACTTAATTAGCTTGACAACATTTATAAAGAAAAAAATGTCAAGCAGCGAGCGAAAGAGACCGTGCTACAAAAAAAAAAGAGTATTCTTTGGAAAGAGACCTGATTAATAATTCAGTTTATAATTTAAAATTATTGTGAACAAGTTTTCATCTGTCCGTTTCTTAATAAAAATCGATTTGGCAATTTAATTTATTTGGATATAAAAGAAAACTCAAACTTATACTAAATGATAATGAAAGGACCAGCAAACGAAAACAGCGGCAAACATTAAATGAATCCACCATTACTAGTAATAACGTCTAACGAGATTACTCTTAATGCTATCACAAAAGTAAACGCGTGATCGCTATTGACAGCGTAATGTGTCTACATATTTTTATTTTTTTGAATATAATGTGTCTACAGTCTACATAAGGGGTTATATATATTGCTTTGTAAGATATTTTGGAAGATTAAGATTCAACTATTATTGGTTGATTAATTGTTTGTTGCGTGAGTCAAATTTTTCCCATATCAAAATTACAATAACCTTCCTTACATAATTGCATAACTAAAAGGGGAAATGGTTTTGAAGGTGAATTGGTTTATCAGATTTATAAGGAATTGGTACATGCAAATGGTGTGAGTAAGCGTTGGATGATGGCTTTGTAGTAAAGGGAGAGTAGTTGTTGGAGGTTGAGATAAGCTCACAACACTCTCACTTGTATCCAAAAAGTTCATGATTTCCTAAACTTTCTTCCTACTCACAGCATATCCAAATCTATTAATTGCTATTTACTCCGCAACCTCAACATCTTTTCTATACCACCAATATTAAATAAAATAAATAAAGTGTTGTATTGATGTGAATATTTTATAGAATTTTCTACTTTCAGTGGTATCAGCTGAAATGGAAATTACGTGTAATCGGAAAATTTTAGGATTTTCTTATTATGGAAGTTACTTTGTAATAAAAAAAATTGTCATAGAAAAGTATAGGTATGGATGGCTTGAAAAGTCAGATAAAGTATTTTCCACTTAATTTGTATAATATTAAATCCACATCAATGTACCATCACGACATTGTTCAATATTTCAACCATAAACAATCTACTTCTAACTTTTGCTTCTCCGATTATTGGCAACTAAAACTAAAGTCTTATATTAGTCCAGCAGCTGTGTACGTTTGACTGAACAAGTGATTTTACGATTCACATGATTTCATAGTACGTACTACTACAAGACGGTCACGTACGAGTGTAACTCTCGCAAAGATGGACCATTCTCCCTTAGTTAACAGTACCACATCGTATGTAATAAGTAATCAGAGTTGTGGAATCTAATATTTTGGATCTGTTGTGTAACCTTAGATTCACTAAGTCAACTATGTGACACAAGATATGGCCAGCGTGAGGATTGACGTATTTATTCTACATATACTAGACTGTATGAATTTTAATAAATAATTAAATAGACAGAACAAGTGAAGTCCCTCGTCCACTTTGTACATCCACATCAATGTGCCACATTATTGTTATCAATTTTCTCACCACAAGTCTGTGCCTTGTCAGTAAACTTTTCAAATTAAACTTAACCCTCACACCAATTAAACTG